TTTTTTTCTTGATTTGGTCAATTTGGACCTATGTCCAGCAGTCTCTCCTCAGTTTAAAAAAGAATTTTAGTGTTCAAGAGCTTTAAAGGCCCAGACCTTTCACTGTATCATGATCCCTTGTATTGGATAACTCTTTGAGCTGCTATTCTCAGACTAACATGTGATTTCCAGTGGGTTGGTGTTTTTGAGGTCCCATTGTTCTCAGGGCTGTAAGAAATGCAGTTGTCTTCCTTGTGCTTCTTCACCCACTGACACCAATACCAGCCAGGTCTTGTAGTGTCAGTGGTGTTCCTTTTCACTTACACGCAAGGATTTATGGGGGATATCTTGTTACCTAGTTTTATAGGTGCTCTCTGTAGGTCTTCTCTTTTGTCATCCACTTAGTTCTGATTTTATGGGAGAGATTAAGATTAGGAAGATTGGAAAGAAAAGCAAAAACAAAATAACTGTGTTTCTGCCACCGTCATTGTCCCAAAACCTCCTGTCTCTCTTCTAATTTTTGGTATCAGTATTCTTGCCTGAATCCATTGTTTCACCGGGGGTTGCAAAATGGTGATTTAGGAAAAAAAATTTTTTCTGTTCATTCTACATATATACCTGCCATTCTTTTTCCTCATCAATGGTTGCTATTTGATTACCTTGAGAAACAGTTCTACTGAAAAGGCATAATAAAATGTATTAAATATTTTAGAGTAAGGAGTTGATATAATTCAGTGATGACAAATGAGTTTGGATTTTAATTGGTGGGGTGAATTTGTTTCGTTTTGTTTTTTGGATTTTTTCTGAATATTGTTATGAACTCATGGACTTTTATATGTTGAGTGTGTTTCACATTCATTATTCCTAGTGATATTCAAACAGCTTAGTTTTGGTATGCTTTTAACATCACCTCATTACATTTTGAAATTTTTAGGTCACCCTTGAGCATTCTTAACTCGAGGTCTGAAATAAGCCATTTTATAAGAAATCGTATGGCTAAATACTATCATTGTGTGAAAGCAGTATAGATTATTAGGACATAGTGTTTATTTCTAACCTTTTGCTATTAGAAATAATGTGGCAGTGAATCATCGTACATGGATTATTCCATATGTATGTATGGGTATCATTTAATTGCTAAAATGGGATTGTTATATCAAATTGTAGAAACATGTGTTTTTTTTTGCTAGGTAATGCCAAATTCTCCTTCACAGTAATTATAAAGTTTTGTACTCCCACCAGCAATATATGAGTATCCCTTTTCCTACAGTTCCCCAAATCCAGTGTGGTGTTTAAACTCTGATGTTTACCTGTCTGCCAGTTAAGAAATGGTAATTTGTGTTTTCCTCAATATGTATGAGAATGGGCATCTTTTCTTGTACTTAGGAGCTATTTGTATTCTTTATAGTCTTACTCCTTTTCCTGCTCAGTTATTGGTTATTTTCTTTGTTTTTAGAAACTTTATATGTTAGATTAGCTGTTTAACCCTAATAAATTTGCAAATATATTTTTACGAGTTTATCTTTTGACTTTGCTTAGGTTTTTTTTTTGTTTTTGTTTTTTGCCAAGTAAAAGCTTTTATGTTTATGTAGTTAAAAATAGTAATCTTTTTCTGTATTCTGCTTTGGTGCATATTTCTTTAGGTTTTTGTTTGTTTTGTTTTTGTTTTTTGTGGGGTTTTTTGTTTGTTTAGTTTTTTAAATTCATTTTTCTTGTTCTTTTGTTTCTGATCTCTGTGTCCCTAGTAGAAATGTTGTTTATGCTGTTTCTCCTTTGGTCACCTTATATATTAACCTTCTGTTTCCAAATTTATGTTCATATTTCTTGAGTATGTTTGAATATTCCCATTTCTGTTTCAGATTTGTTCATTCCTGATCTTTGTATTTCTGATTAATGGTGTTCTTTTCTATCTTCATATTGGAATGTGGGAATTACACAGTTTGCATTCTTCACAACTGAATTTTTCAAGAATACATTTTTTCTGCTAGGAATTTAGCTTATTTGTTATACTTGTGTCATAATATCTTTATTTGGACTTTGGAATTATGTTTTTCTCATTTATGTTTCTATTGGTTGGATTTTTCTGACCTATTAGTAGATCTCATGGGGGAGTAGAGAGAAGTTTGGGTGGCTTTAGTGGTCTTTTGATCGAATAGTCCCTCTTTTGCTGTTGTGCAATTTCTTTAATACATGGTTATGTGGCCTACCACCTTCTGATTCTTCAGTTCCATCTTGTTTAATTAGGACCTTTTTTATTAGCTGCTTCCATCCCCCCTTTTTTTTTTTTTTTTTAGTTTTTTTTTTTTTTTCTTTTTCAATGTTTATTTATTTTTGAGTGAGACAGAGACAGAATGAGAGTTGTTTAGCAGCAGAGAGAGAGGGAAACACAGAATCCGAAGCAGGCTCCAGGCTCTGAGCTATCAGCACAGAGCCCGATGCGGGGCTCGAACTCTCACAAGCCATGTGAGATCATGACCTGAGCTGAAATCGGACATTCAACCAACTGAGCCACCCAGGCATTCCTGCTTTCATCCCTTTATAACCAGAAGCTACTTTCAAGGGACACTTATGCCTCCCAGGGTGCTCCCCATCCCTTCCAGGTAGCATGCCTGTCATTTATAATCCCTGATACTTTTCTAAGACCCTTCCTTTTAGCCACTTTGTTGCCAGTACTCTTACCTATCCTTAGTAGTTCACTCTTGGGGTGGGGCTCTGCCCTTCTGGGGTGAACTGTAACCTGTGTTATTCTTCTCTACAACCCCCTCTTCCATAGTGCTCCTGCTGGACTCTGCTAGTTTGGGCTCAGGTGTTCGTACTCCAGCTGATATGTCAGTTGGGAGTTTGCTGCTCTGTTTTCCTGGTTTTAATCTAAGCATAGGTTATGAGTGTTTCTATCAGATTTTCTCTCATTTTTGATCTGAATAGGTTTAAGGAGATATAAATGAGATGTGATCCATGCAGCCACCACTTAAGGAAGAAATGCAGAAGCCTCTCTTTCATGTTTGGTTTTCTAAATAGTTGCATTCCTAACCAGAATTTTAATATAGAACATAGCACTAAGAGAAGAATTTTTTCAATAAGTGTTTTCATTATATAAACTGATGGTAACTCCAATATTTTAAATTCCTATTTTTTAGAAAGAACCAAATAAGTAAGAAGCCATGCTGATAAGGATACCTTTGTATCTACCTTTTTAGGTATGACTGGTTCCTTGTAGTGTGCAGGATACCTATTCTGCCCTGACAGAGAGCTCTAGGCTATAGGAAACTTATTTTTTCTTGTCAGCCAACCAAAAGTGATGATCTAAACTGTGGGGTGATTTTAGTTGTTCCTGAAAGATGCACCTGCAAGTTCCGTGTCTAATTTCCTGTTGTTACG